CTTGTTAGAGCAAGTGAAGGAGATTCTTATTATGGGCTTCAGTGCAGTTGTCAGCCATAATAATGAATTCTTATACTGTCTTGCCTTGGAACAGGCAAAGCCGATGGAGATACATATTTGTTATGTGAAAGAGAGATCACAAAGATTTCCAAAGCAGGTGGAAATTTGCTGTGGTGGGTATTTGTACAGAGTTTAGCTGCAGTCTTTAATAAGCTGTGCAGATTAGTAAACTTGGTGCAATAATGACTAAGTTACCAAAATCCATGGGTGTGTTTAGCTGACAGCCACTTTCAATTGATTTCATATTATCTCTACTGTGAGTCTGAACATTCTGGATGCTCATACTGTGAGTGATGTGTTTCCCCAGAAACTTCAAATATTAATTTTAAATATGTTCACAGCCTGTTCCTATCATCACCTGCCGGTTTTGCAGAATAAACGAATATGTGCACCTCAACAGCTATTGCTTTAGCTCTCTAAAGCAGGTGTTCTACACCACTAGTCTCTGAAAGCAAGGGAGAATATCTCATTGTTTTCATCTGTAAAATGTAAGGATATGTCAGCACCACAAAATATACCCTGTGAGCTGAATAGTATTGGCTACAAGAGGTTGATGTCCCACTCTGAGAAACTTTAGCAAACCACTGAGGCAATTACACACTTTTTTTCTGACAGGAAAAAGCCAGTGTAATTCTTTGGATAATACCCTAAATGCTGGTCTATGAATAATAACTTCCTCAAATGATTTCCACAAATGGAAGGTCCAGTGGTAGTGATTCCCAGACCTCAGACTATGAAGAATGCTTTGGTAATATTCCACACTTTTTCTGTCCTGGGAAAAAGATACATTAACCTATCCTGATTATATTAATTGAAATAATAGTATCTGTTCAATTATTTGCATAGCCCTAGTGCTGCAAAAACTTTGTGAGGAATAACTTCACAATAAGTACTGGAAGCTCTTTACCTTTATGTTGAAGAGTAAACACAATCCCATCATGATAAGTCACACTTAAGCAAATGGGTGTTTATGGGTGTCAGTTTATCAAAGAATAAGCCATAAAGATAAAGGAGATAAGATGGGACATGGTAAAAAGAAACTTATGAGAAGAAGGGGTATTCATGGGAGTGATAAGTTAAGAACATCACAAATGTATGAGTATATATGTCCAGCAGAGGCATCCCAACTGCCCAGCTAATCAAGCAGCAACCTATATTGGGAAGTAGCAATATGGGAAGATATTTGGAGACAGATGATTACTTTAGTGACAATGGCCAATTTATACTGGACAAGAAAAGGCAATGGTAAATCACCTCTATATATTTTTAAAAAACCAAATGGATAGAACATATAAAAGTATTGACAGCATAGTGCTGAATATGGATCCCTCAAGTGGAATATACCCCACATGCTACTGAAGAAGATTTATGAATCTTTTAAATAGTGTTTATGATTAAAGCTTTTGTGAGGTCTGTGGGAACCAAACTGTCGCCATGACAGGCTAGGTAAAATAGCTAGGCCAAAGAAGGATAGAACAAAGCTATCTGAATTAAGAACCTAGTGGAAATTTACCAAGGCCAGTTGGCTGAAGTGTCAAGGAAACAATTATGAGAAAAAACAAGCTAAGGAAGTTGGCAGCGGAAAATAAACATTGTGAAACCCGGCTTAACCGCAGCTTAAGCAAAAACAATTTGCACCTGATAAGGAATGTGTAGAATGGTACATAACTGAAATTAGTCATTGGAAAGTTACTTAAAATATATGTGTGGTGCTTTGCTATTGGCTAAGGAATATATGGCGTAATGTATGCAAGCATGTCAATAAAAGAGCACTCTGGAAAGACAGAGATTGCCATTTCACCCAGATTGCAGCCTCCGTGTCTTATTGGGAAGCAGTCTCAGGAATTGGGACCGTGAAGTGGACCACCAGTTGGAGGGACCCCTGCACCCTGCAGGCGCAGTCTCTTCAAGTGGTGACCCCGACGTGATTCATTTTACAACGCCAGGAACCAGTCGAGGTGCGACGCGGAGAGACAGAAGGGGCTCATCGCGTGCCCAACACCCTCATCTCTTACCCAGCGCAAATTCGTAAGTATGGGGGCAGATTTGTCTAAAGAGCAGGTGGCTCACCTTAAGGCAATTGGACAAATAGTTGGAGCTCACAAAAAATATTAAAGAATAGAGGTGAACTTCCTACAAAAAAAGGGGTTCAGGAATTATTGAAATATATTTGGCAAAACTGTCCATCATATCCCTTATATGGGTCATTGGATATTAAAACATGGACAGATATAGGTTCTTATTTACATGAGGAACCTAGGGCGCCACCATCCATATTAATAAATTGGAAGGCTGTTTTAACTGCCCTTTGTTTACACCAGGGAGATACTTTTACTCTTTCCAAAAAACAAAGTAATGAATTGAAACCTTTAATAAGTCCAAGCGCCCCTCCAAAATATGAAGAGGTGACAACAGAGGTTGTAGAGGAAGTAAAGGAGGAAAATAAAAAGGAGATCATGCAACAAAATCCTCAGGAAGAAAAATCTAATATTTATCCAGTTTTAAACACTGGGTGTCCATACGGCCCTTTGACCACGGGAGTCCAGGCCACGAGAAGCAGCGGACACGTAGATCTAGATGATTTACAGATGATGGCTGCTTTTCCTGTTGACTTTGCAGGACCAAATCCTGTTTTTACCGCCCTGGCATTTCAAGTGTTAAAAGATTTAAAAACTGCAATATCAACATATGGACTACAATCTCCATATGTGCAAGGCTTATTTCAAAATTTATCTGACAATTATGTTTTATTGCCAAATGAATGGTATTCAGTCGCAAAATCAGTCCTTAGTATGACACAAGCTATGTTATGGAAGGCTATTTTCCGAGAACAATGTGTGGTATTACATGGTACTAATGTTAACTTTCCCACCGATCAGTTGCAAGGAGTGGGTAATTTTGCCACACATGATCAACAAATGGCCATTCCAAGGGCTTCTTTAAAGGTTTCCGAGAAAGCAGCTATATTTGCCTTTGCTCATCTGGATGATATGGGGTCCGCTAGTACATCTAGTTTTACTTCCATTAGACAAGAGAATGGGGAACCATATAGTAGCTTTATAGAAAAATTGCAAAAAGTAATTAATAGGGAAATTAGTAATGCATTAGCAAGAAAAGAATTGATGATAAAATTAGCCTTTGAAAATGCCAATGAGGATTGTAAAAGGGCTTTGGAACCACTAAGAGGGGATCCGACAAAAACTTTGGTAGACTACTTGCGCAAAGCCGCGGTAGTCGGATCAGTTGCCTATCAGACGCAACTAATGGCTGATGCGTTAGTAATTAGCCAAAATAATCAAAAACCTAAAGGCCCTAGAAAGGGAAATTGTTTTAATTGTGGAAAACCTGGACATTTTAAAAATCAATGTAGAGCCCCGGGAGCAAAAACTCCTTGTCCAAAATGTGGAAAAAATGGTCATTGGGCAAGAGAATGTAGAGGGAAAGGTAACCAGAGGGAAAGTGAGAATAGACAACAGTTTTCGGGAAACTAGATAACGGGCGAGGTTCCAGCCCGGTAACTAAAGGAGCCATATTCAATGTAAACTGTCCAAATTACATTTCAAAAAATCATAAATCTATAGTTTCTCTACCATCTGATAAACCAGAACCCATGGCTATAGTAACTTCCCCTAGAGAACCAGTGGATTTTGCAGAAAAAGAAGCAGTTGTGCAATCAGTGGTAATTCAAGCTTCAGAAACCATTGAAATGTTTACTCCAGGATTAGTGTACTTTTTGCCATTAAATATGTCAGCGGCTCATTTTCCACCAGCAACTCCTTTAATCATGTATCCCCACAGGGATCTTATATCCCGTAAAGTTTTGGCTTCACCCTTTTTATTAGAGGATACAGATATCTCCTCTCTAGCCTTGGCATGTATTTGCGGTAGTCCGCTCACAGTCAGGGCGGGGGAGGATGCTGCTATTGTGATACCTGTTTCCTTAGAAGCCAACCCCTACGGATATAACCCCCTGAGGCATTGTGAAAAAATGCCTTTGGGAGACTTAATAACTACCCATGAAGAATATTTTACTACAGGGGTAAAAGCTCAAAAACCATTTCTGACTGTAGTACTTAATGGTGTTCCCTTTACTGGTATTTTAGATACTGGTGCTGATGTGTCAGTAAGCAGTTCTACACAGTGGCCAGCTTCTTGGCCCTTGCAAACTGCAGCAGCTGTTAAAGGAGTGGGAGGTGTTCAACTGGCTCAATCCAGTGCGGAGTGGCTAGAGGCTTCTATCCCGGGTTCTACAACCAAGGCACGTATTCGTCCGGTTGTCTTAAAATTACATGTTAATTTGTGGGGTAGAGACTTGATGTCCCAATTTGGAGCAACTTTGACATTGGAATAAAATGGACCCACTTATGAAACTTACACTAAAAGATAGCACCCCCATATGGATCGACCAGTGGCCACTCCCCAATTTTAAATTAGAAGCCTTAGAAACAATTGTTCAGCAATTATTGTTAGATCAAAAAATAGAATTATCCAATAGTCCGTATAATACGCCTGTTTTTGTAATAAAAAAGAAATCAGGAAAATGGAGAATGCTTCAAGATTTAAGAAAAATAAATGAAGTAATACAACCAATGGGTCCTTTACAGTGTGGACTACCAAACCCTAATATTATTCCTCAGAATTATGAATTAATGGTTATTGATTTGAAGGATGCTTTCTTTTCAATACCCTTGCATAAAAAAGATAGGATATTATTTGCATTTACCATTCCGGTGTTAAATTATAGTAGACCGACAGTAAGATATCAATGGAAAGTTTTACCTCAAGGAATGTTAAATAGTCCAACACTTTGTCAATACTATATTAATAATATTTTGAAAAATTTTCGATTAAAATATAGGGGAATTTTATTTTATCATTATATGGATGATATTTTAATTGCAACAGAAAAAAATGCGCAAGGTGTACATTTACAAATAATGATGGAAATAATAAAAGAATTTAATAATAAAGGATTTGTGATAGCTAAAGAAAAAATTCAAAAAATGCCACCGTATATGTATTTAGGACATAAAATAATGACAGCTTATGCCTCGCCAGTAATTCCAAAATTGCCAGAAATGGATAAATGTACTTTAGTACAATTACAACAATACTTGGGTTCAATTAATTGGGCACGTCCATATATGGGGCTGACTACAGGTCAAGTACAACCATTGTTTGCACTTTTGGCAGGAGGAAAAGAACCCGCCACAGTGCTGACAATTGGAGAAAAGGAAAGACAATGTATTCAACTAATTCAAACTGCCATGACAAAGAGATGGGTAGATAGAATGATTCCACAAGTACCCCTTTCGGCAGCTATTTTTAATACTGAAAATTTACCCACAGGATGTTTATTACAAATACAGCAGAAAAAAGCCTTTGTTGTTGAATGGATACATTTAGCCAATACTCCAAAAAGAACAGTTTCAACTAAGCCGCTACTGTTATCTCAGATAATATTGAAGATTAGAGAAAGAACCCGAGCTGTAATAGGAATGGATCCAATAACGATTTATGTTCCATATCCACTGCCATGGTGGGAAAAATATTTTCAAATATCAGATGAACTTCAATTGGCCCTAAGTGATTATGTAGGAGCAATTAAATACCATCTTCCTACGGATTATAGATTTTTGCTACTTAATCAGCAACATTTGCAATTAATCTCATTACAAAGTAAAATGCCAATAAAGGGTGCGGTCACAGTCTTTGCCAATGGTACAAAAAATAGAGGTGCCTGCGTGTATCAAATTCAAGGACAATGGGTAGTTTATCATACTACCCCTCAGAGTTCGGCTCAACGTTCAGAGTTGGCTGCCTCAATTTTGGCTTTTGAAAAGTTGAAAGATCAAGAATTTAATTTGATTGTGGATTCATTGTATGTTTTTCAAATAATTAATGATTTGTTTGATGCCTATCTTTCACCAGTTTTAGATAAACAATTGTTAAGTATGTTTGTACAATTACAGCAATTAATTATGGATAGAAAATGTCAATATTTTTTGGCTCATATTAGAAGCCATCAGTCACTTCCTGGAATATTAACAGAAGGAAATTATTATGCAGATAAAGCCACTAGGGAAGGTTTTATCGCGTTTGTAACTCCTTGGGAAAGCCATGAATATTTTCACCAGAATGCAAAAGCACTAATGAAAATGTTTAAAATTTCAAAAATGGAAGCCACAGCAATAATACAACAATGTCCTACCTGTAATAAGCAGGGAGCATCAATTCCTATGGGAGTTAATCCCCGAGGAATCAATCGCTGTGAAATATGGCAAATGGATGTTACTCAGTACCCTCCTTTTGCACCCTGGAAATATATTCATGTTACGGTGGATACCTTTTCAGGATTTATTTTTGCAACCCCACAGCGAGGAGAAACAACCAAACAAGTGATTAATCACTGTATGCGTTCCTTCTCAGTTTTAGGAAGTCCATTGGAAATTAAGACAGACAATGGACCTGCATACAGTAGTGCTGCCTTTGCCACCTTCTGTGATCAGTGGAAGATTGTTCATAAATTTGGAATCCCATACAATTCCCAAGGACAAGGAATAGTAGAGAGAGCAAATTTGACATTAAAAATGATGCTTGAAAAGCAGCAAGATCCTTTTAAAATAGGGTTGCCTGAAATTCAAAACCGTTTGAGTAAAGCCTTGTATACTCAGAATTTTTTAAATCTTACAGGCTCGCCTATAGCCTCTACAGCAGCGGATAGGCATTTTCGGAACAGTGTAGTTTCTCCCCGCCCTCTTGTTTATTACAGACAATTGCCGGATCCTCAGTGGAAAGGACCCGTGGAACTCGTTACCTGGGGAAGAGGTTACGCTGCAGTACAACTCCCGGATAAGGTTTTGTGGGTCCCTGGTAGATGCATACGACCGTTTCATGAAAAATCGGTAGAAACGGATAACAAAAAGGATCCAGAAGCAAGCCTGTCACTTTTGTTCCAGGCAACAGACTATAATTGGCTATTGTGGCCAATGTGTTGGTTCTGCCTTTGCCCCTGTGAAGCCTGTTGTTGCTTCCATTGCCCCTACTGTGTGCTTTGTAATCTGTGTAAAATCCCATGTGATATTGTGATAATTGAACAGTGTCTTCAGGAACATTTTTTCCTATACCAATCCATCCCATACCGACCTTCGCCTTACACCAACAGTGCAACAGGCCATTGACAGTCCGTTTTATAACAGTTATCACGAAGGATGAAAATTCGTCCGGAACAAGTCATTGGCCGTTCCTATGTCCCAAGGACATGACAACCTCGATGTCCCTTTTTCAGAAGACCTTTGCCCGGACAAAAAATGGGATTTTGGGACTATTGGGTTCCTCCTATGTCTTGTAAGCATTTTTTGTTGCATTTTTTGGTTATGATGCTGGGGATGGGGATTGTGCTTTTAATAATGTGGGGAGCACTTGAATATGAATTTTACAATGAAAAAACAGAGGTTATTCAAGAAATTCCATTTCCACATAATCGCTCAAAAATAGCGATAATTCCATATTCTAATAGAGAAAATTGCAATTCTCAAGGGATATGTATTTACCCTCGTAATACATATGGAGAAGCCGATACACAAGTTACCTTAACTTGTTATTTGAAAAATCCGGAAGTACCGTGCTTAACTAAATGGCGATTTTCGCCCGCAAAATAAAAAAAGGCGTTCAAGTATGTGAGAGGTATTTCCCACCCGAAAGAGAATGGCTGTTTATCACAGATTAAAATAAAAATTACAGAAAATTCCATAGGTTGGTATCAATGTATACAATATCAAATAGGTCTACCTAATAAAATAATAAAAGCAGAAGTAACTTCCAGAGCAAGTATAAAATTTCCCCCAGTTAGTGAATGGTTTTTAACATTCTTAAGTTATCAACAAGAAATGGGAGGAGGTTCCTTTAGCCACCTAAATAAAAGGTCAATAAAAGAAAACGTTTGTACAGCCTGTTTACAAAAAACTAAGCAGGGTACAAAGGTTTCTGTGACCTTAATATATTATACTATGAAACCAGAATGTAATGGGACTACATTACCGCCATGTATATATAATAATACACAATATAATCAGTTCCACACATCAATTGGGATACAATGTTATGAACCAAAAGCAGTAGGATCTGTCACTAGTAGTATTTATGTTTATGGCTATAAGGGTGGATCTACTAGTCTGGAAGATCAATTTGCTCAAGCACAGAAATCATCAGGATATATATCCCATAATATTACCAGAGGAGAAAAGCCTACTACTGTTTGTTTTGATGCATGTTTGGCAATTGATAAAGGACAAGGGTGGGGATCCGCTGGAGTGCCTTGTGGAGGACAATCATGGGAACAATCATATATCCAATACCATAAATATTTATTTACCCGCTCAACAGCTTCCTCATATGGAGGCTATAGACAACCTAGTGCGTATTGGTATACGAGCGGTCGGGGACCTAATAATTTTAATCTCTCCATCACCCCAGCTAGTACTGATTGTCGATCTCATCACTGTACACCTATTTGCCTTTCTGCTCATGTAGCAGGTACTTTGGGTACCCGGTACTATCATTATGGTATTGGTATAGATAAAACAGGGAAGGATCCTTATGGATATATTCTTGTAAAAACTGAAGCCACAAAATTAACAAATCAGCCTGTAAAGTTCTTTTGGAGTTATGAACAGGAAATTGAAAAACTTAATGACCTACCTACACCCCCAAGAGCAAAAAATATGTTTATCAACTTAGCTCAAGAAGTTGCTAGAGAGCTTATGTTGAAGAATTGTTTTGTTTGTGGAGGTACTACTATGGGAGATCGCTGGCCATGGCACGTACAAGAAGCAAATTATACTGAAATAGCACAATGGCATGGGAATTTTACCTTTAATAATAAATTTAATGAGACATGGCAAGTTACCTCACATATTGTTGGCCAAATATGTTATACTAGAAATAAGAATAACCAGACCAATAGAAATAAACCTATGGGATTTTTGAAATGTTCAAATGAATGGGAAAATAATACTTGGATTTCACAAACTAATATGACTCAACCTGAAAACTCGTTAATAAATTTGACTAAATTACAGGGAATTTCGGACCCTGAAAATGATACCATTGAATGGAATTCACCGGATGGATTGTATTGGATATGTGGTAATTTTGCTTATAATATGTTACCTGCAGGATGGTATGGGTCATGTATTCTGGGTGCCATTCAACCTTCATTCTTCCTAATTCCGATAGAGAAAAAACAAAAATTAGGAATACCTGCATATGACACCCTTGAAAGACGTAAACGTTCAGTAAATCTTTCCAAAGGGACAAAAATAGGAAATTGGAAGGATGATGAGTGGCCCCCAGAAAGAATTATTGCATATTATGATCCTGCATCATGGGCACAAGATGGCTCATGGGGCTATCGCACACCAATATATATATGCTTAATAGAATTATTAGATTACAAGCTGTGTTAGAAATAATTACTAATGAAACTGCATTGGCATTAACAAAACTTGCAAAAGAAAGTGTATTATCAAGAACCTATATTATGCAAAATCGTTTAGCTTTAGATTATTTGCTTGCTGCTGAAGGCGGGGTATGTGGAAAATTTAATCTTAGTAACTGTTGTATACAGATAGATGATTCCGGAACTGTAATAGAGAAAATAACTCAAAAAATGATACAGACTGCACATGTTCCAATACAAACTTGGAAAGGTATGTTAGATACCGATGGATGGTTAGGAGGTATATTTCACAATTGGAAACAAGGATTGTTTTTTATTGGTATGATTTTATTAGGTTTAATAATGCTACCATGTATTTTACCATTGTTACGCTCCACTATGCAGAGTATTGCTGAAGCAGCGGTTCAAAAACATAATGCAATGTTAGTAGCTGCCAACGCACCAGAATTGACAATTCCTGGTTGCCCGATGAAA